TATATATATAAATCTAAAGTATGATTAATTTGATTGTTTATGTTGAAGAATTGAGAGAATTAGTGAAGGATACAAGGATGATGAGAGGTTCAAAAAGTGGACCTGGCCATATTTTGGTAGTGTCAGTAGTGGATCTTAGGGGAAAAGTGCACATGGAAAAAGGGAAAATGTGAAAGAAATTACTGTGAAAATATAACATCTGAGAGAAAATACAGTCATATATTATTAATCTTTCATCTAATACTTTATCTGTGACCATAAGAAATGGAAATGGTTGTAAAGAAATAAGTTTTGAAAGCTGCTTGTTGTTTGGCATCAGTCTGAGTCTTCAGATTCAGAAGCTGAAGAGCTTAGCTAGAAGGAGAATCAGCCTGGAAAAGGCATGAGGAGACACAGATGAGTCAGCTGATCCAGAGCCCAAGTTTGGCAGGGTACCACACCCAGCAAGACGTTGTAAATTACAAACAAAAGAACAAAGAAAGTCAAACCATCTACTTGAAAGAAAGAAACATGACTTAGCAAATCAATCAAGCTAGTAGACAGGTCTATAAAAAAGGTTTGACTGGCTTTTTGTAGCAAGCTATATTCTGCCCCCTACCCACCCACTTCCAGTGACTCTATCTGTATGCTGTGATGGATTATCTAGATTACCTGGCTGATTTTGGTCTAAAACTAATTATTTTTTTATCCTCCCTTCATTTCTGGTTTTTTCTTTTTCTTTTTTTTTCTTTTTTGGTCTCTTTGGACTTTTGGAAAAGTAAGCTTCCATGCCTCCATTTTCTGTATAGAAAGATTTAAGTCTACAGTGTACTTTCTGTTACTTCAGTTAAAAATTTATGCCTGCAATAAATTCCTTGAAATTGTAGCAGAAGCTGGCTGCGTATGTGTAATTGGGAACACAGAATAGCAAGGCATAGTTAAGATTAGAAGAAGCAGAGAAAACACAAAGCAGATATGATGAAAATAAATATATGTTTCGCAAATGGGAGAAGGAGGTTAAACAAAGGAATCTCTTGTATAGTGAATGGAATTAAAAATCAAACATCCCAAATAATTTTGGGTGGAAGGTTTAGATGATAAACTTATGAAAATTATCATAATATGTAAAGCAGTGGAACTTAAAAATACTATAAATGCTAGTGTCCAAGGGGGGAAAAAATAATGAGAATGTGAGCATGCTGAAAAGCAGGAACACAGCAGGTATAGATGGTATAACATGGTTTGCTTATGGACCATCTGTGAGATTTGTTTAACATTTGTATAAGACTTTTATGGAAACTTTGTTTCCAATAAAACAACAATTGTGTATGAAATAAGATATTTATAGGGTGAAAGCAAGGACTAAAAGTCATGGAGAAGTATAGAGAGTATACACTTAGTAGTCTGTTTTCTATTTTTCTTATATCATGCCTTTAATTCTTTTGGCTTCTTGTTTCTTTTTTCTTTTCTGCACGCTATATAACATTTCTTTTTATGATGTTATGTTGAATGTATGTATGTATTTCATTTATATTTACTCTTTGTTGTCCTGAAATCTGTCATGAAAAGTTTGTTTATTTATTTATTTATTTATTTATTTATTT